TCATCTTTGGGCAATGTCTTTAATTAGCAAGCAGGAAAGGCTACAATATCCACATCACAATTTTCTTTCCATATTTTGGAAAAGTCCTTCTCAGATTTCTTCCTTTCTCAAAGGTAAGACCACAAGCAATTATTATTATTTCTAGTTCTTTCTGGGAAATATACCTTTACAGCTGCTGTTGAACCAAACATTGTATGATAATACCATTTCTAGAAATTTTACTGTTTCTTTTTGTCAACAGAGTGCTAAGGAATATAAAGATACTAAAGAATGTAAGTGTTAAAGAGTATTGCAACAGAAGAGAAAACAATGATAATGTAGTTATTCTGCTGTAGTATTCACTGTTAATCTGAAGAGTGAGAGTTTCTGAGAATCAAAAAACCTGTGGGTTAAGATTATGAATCAGAGCCATTATGCATTCCTTTAAATCCTTGCTCCATCACTAACTGGTTGTACATCCTTGGTAATGGATTATACTCCTTATGTATTTTTATTTTATTCATTATCCGTTTATTTATTTTTATTTATTTACTTGTTTTTTCTGTTATAATTGTAAAATTGGTATAAAAATAGAAACTATCTCATAGAGCTATTATGTAAACTAAAAGAATTAATTCAAATAAGGTATTTGTCTCAGAAAGGAGGTTGGGCAATCTACTTCCGTACTGATACTGCCTTGGAAACTCAAGGAGGGGTCGCTGTGAGTCGGGTCCGACTCGACGGCAAATAACAACAACAACAACAAGGTATTTGTAATAGTCTCAGACTGTTAAAACTGTTAGATTCATTATTATATCATCCGTATTGCTTCCATTATTTTTCAGGTTCAATGTTTCTCAATGCTTCTTTTAGTTTTTCTGTTATTATTATTGAACAATATATAACTTTTCCATATCTCAAATGAAAATATTTAGATGGACCAAGAGAGCATAGGCTGAAACATAGTGAGTGTGTGAGTGTGTGGTAGTGCAACAATATGATTTAAATATGCACAGCTCTGAGGAGAGAGGGCAATGGATTTATTAAAGGATAAAAGAAAAGTATCAATTTTAGACATTATTTAAGAGTCTAGATAAACTTATTGAGATATAATTTTTATTCCAGTCTGAGATGTGATTCTTTAAAAATATGAAGTGATAAAGATTAAAGTAAGTGGAGTGGCTCAGTTATTCCTCATACTAGAACATATAATGTTTATTTCTTGCTGGTAAAATTGTATCAAATATGAGTGTACACTAATATGTACCTGAATTTTCCTTGGAATATAAAATGTTTGCCTGAAAACAAGTCAATAAATGTACACCTCTAAATGGGTCATGTGTACATTGTAAACATGTAACAGAGGTAAGACTTTCCCAATTCTACTTCCACATCTGCCACTATTTGGATTTACTGTACTCACTAAAGAGCTCTGGCTTTATACCAAATTTCTAAAAATTGTTGTTTCATGGTTCAGTATCACAATTATCTTAAACAAGTTCCAAGGTGCTCTATTATTAGTCTTCAAACAGGTAAACATGTTGTTAAAACCCAAATCACTATACCTTCTCAAAGACTTGCAATTTACACTTTAGCAAAAGTTGTGCAAGAACAATATAAAATATTTTATCTGCTCTCTGTGTGTGCACTTCTGTGTGTGTGTATGTGCACTTCTCTGTGTGTGTATGTGCATGGAATCTTTTGGAATTAGAATATGAACTTGTATTATTGTAATATGTGAAAGTCAAACTTCTGTATGAATGAATATAAATTGTTTAAAAAATGTAATTTAGTTTGACAAGTATCCTGAATTATATTTGATGATATTAAAGAATTAATGTGTATTTCATATTTCATCATGTTTGTGTGTCTTCAAAGAGGTTTTTTTACCTCTCTCCACATCAGCAATTTAATGTCAGCCACCAAGATGACTCAAGAAAATTCCAGCACCATCACAGAGCTGGTCCTGGTGGGATTTTCCAATTATCCCCAGGCTGAGACACCCCTCTTCTTCCTCTTCTCTCTGATCTACCTGGTGAATCTCTTTGGAAACACAGTAATTTTCATTTTGGTGGTAATTGACTCCTGTCTTCAGACACCAATGTATTTTTTCCTCTGCCACTTGGCCTTTCTCAACATATTTTACACTACAGCTGTGGTCCCCAAAATGCTCTTCAATCTTCTGGCTTCCAAGAAAGTTATCTCTTATGAGTTCTGCCTTGCCCAGACTTACATCTCCCTGCTAATGGGAGCAGCTGAGTGCATTATTTTGGCAATAATGGCTCTGGACCGCTATGTGGCCATTTGTTACCCTCTGCGATACCTGATCATAATGAACTGGTCTGTGTGCATGCAGCTGGCTGGTGGAGCCTGGGCCATCAGCTTTTTTGCCTCGGTGGTGCCGCTCTACTTCACCACAGTTCCCATCTGTGGCCCTTACATTATTGACCATATTTTTTGTGAAGTACCTGTTTTGCTTAATATGATTTGTGATGACACATCTCTGCAGGAGACTCTCATGATAATAGGAGCTTCTGGTACCCTCTTGCTTCCTTTCCTCCTTATTGTCCTTTCTTACCTGTGCATCCTGGTTTCTGTGATGAGTATGCACACTGCTGAGAGTAGGAAAAAAGCTTACTCTACCTGCAGCTCCCATCTGACTGTGGTGACCATTTATTATGGGACAGGGATGTTCATGTATATGAGGCCCAAATCTCTGTATTCAGCTAAGGGTGATAAATTGATTTCTTTGTTCTATGCAGTCATCAATCCTGCTTTGAACCCTCTAATCTATAGCCTAAGAAACAAGAAGGTGCAAGGAGCTGTGAGAAGAACCTTAGAGAGGTGGAAAGCATTCCATAGGCAAACTACATTACCTTGAGATGCCATAGAGAGCATTTGAATATCACAGTAAATTGTTTAATGCTAGTAATAAAATAACTAAATGAGCTACAAACCATGTTGCTGTATGCCAAAATTATTACCAATATATTGCATTGTTCTCATCAGATAAGACTCTACTCTGACCCACCTTATAAGGACTGATATTAATGTATGCTATGTTTTGTATTGAATATTTCTGTTTATCCATAATTTAGGAGCCCTGGTGGCAAAATAATTAAAGCACTCTTGACCCTATATGTTGCTCCATGGTAGAAAGATGTGGCAGTCTGTTTCCACAAAGATTTACAGCCTTGAAAACTATATGGGGCAGTTCTACTCTGTCCTATAGGTTGCTAGGAATGAAAATTAAGTCTACAGCAGTGGAGGTTTTGGATTTTATTGATAATTTAATTTTAAAACAAGTAAACTGTATATGGTAAAGAAAGCTGAATTGAATTTCAAACCAGGTTTTCCAAATCCATATTTCATTACTCATTTCCCTTATAATATTTATGCTCTTTTTTTTTTTTTTTCCTCACTGATTACATGACATAGCATCCTCCTTGGATACTCTACATTAATCTGTGTCTAATTAAAAATACCTGTTTCACTAATAATGGGGAATCTTTTTTATAATTCCCCCCCAAAAAAAAAACTCACTTCTTTCAAGTCAATTAGACTCATAGTGATCTCTCCTTGAGTTTCTGAGTTGGTATCTCTAAGGAAGTAGATTGCCATATCTTCCTTCCAAGGAGTGGCTGGTGGATTTGAACCTTCAGCCTTCTGGTTAGCAGTCAAAAGCCTTAGGCACTACACCATCAGAGCTCCCTTTTATAATTTAACCAAAAAAAACAAACTCACTGCCGTCCAGTCAAATCCAGCTCTGAGGCAGTATCACGACAGAAATAGATTGCCCAATATTCCTTCCGAGGACTGGCTGGTGGGTTTGGACCACCAGCTTTCCCTCATATCAGTACATTGCTCAACTAATAGAAACATTCTTGATATAAGTACTTCAATCCTCAACTCAATTTCACCTTCTCCATGATGTCTTTTTCTAAAACATGATTCTTCTCGTTTTGTTGGGTATTCTCCTTTCTTTGATCAAGGACTTAAAGTTTTCACTTGTTTTATTGCACCTTTATTCTGTTAACTCCCCACATGTTTTTTGGCCACCATGGAATAAATTGTTTGGACCAAACATTGACTTCATTGCTGAATGCCTCATAATCCAATTCAAGGGAAAGCATATCATGCTAACTCATAACTGCTATGCAGAGGAAGAGAACCCCAGTGAAGGGCAGGGTCACCAGGAAAGCCCTCTTTTTAGGCAACTATTTAAGTGGAGATATAAGGAAAGAGAGGGCATTGTTAGTTCAGTGGAAGAATTCTCACCTTCCATGTGGTAGACTCAGATTTGATTACAACTAATACACCAAGTACAGCTACTACAAATCATGTACTCAAAAAAAAAAAAAAAAAACTCACTGTTGTTGAGTCATTTTCTGACTCATAGTGACCCCTCCTTGGGTTTCCTAGGTGGTATCATTATGGAAGTAGACTGCCCAATCTTCTCTGCAAGGAGTGGTTGATGGGTTTGAACCGCCAGCCTTCTGGTTAGCAGTCAAATGCCATAGGCACTACACCACCAGGGCTACCACAAATCTGTTGGTGGTGGCTTGTGTGTTGTTATGATGCTAAACAGATTCAGAGAATCTTCCAGAGTAAGACAGACTAAGGCCTGGTGGTCTGCTTCCAAAAATCAGCCAACAAAATGTCTATCAATAATACAGTCTGATCCTCAATATATAGTAGGGATTACACAGGAGCCAGAAGCAATTCATTCCATTGTGAACAGAGTGACCACGAGTCTGTCTCTGACTCTAAGGTACCTGACCATAACACAGCATGAAGAAAGAAAATTTACCAGATGAATAAGTCAAAAGGAAAATTTCAAATGGAGGTGCAAGGTGATGGGGGAGTGGACACCAAAAATTCAGTTTGAAAGAAGTTTAATGAGTCTTAGTTAAACTCTACAATATTCTCAAGGTATGTCTGTGTTTTTGTGTTATTATTAATACTCATGTTAAGGGCTTAGTATTTTTCTATTACCCATAACCCTAATGCCAAGCACTTTGTACATTCTTTATTTATTGAATTGAATATCATGATTTTCTGCGTATTTAAATTATATTTCATCGGTGATGTGTTTTCATCTTACTGTTTTTGAATAAGATATCACATATATAATTTACACATTAATTTTCTCAATATTATATGACTTTCATTTTACACCAATATAGAAACTGTTTATTTTTGAAAAACACACACCAATTTAAGGTTAGAACACTTAACACTAATATGAAAGTTATTTAAGACTCATTTTCCATGTTATAATTTTTATTTAAGGAGCTCTGGTGATGTAGTGTCTAAAGTGTTTGACTGCTAACCAGAGGTTGGTGGTTCAAACCCACCAGACATTCTACAAAAGAAAGATGAGACAATCTATTTCTGTAAAGATTTCCTGCCTCAGAAACCCAGTGGGTGTCTCTACGAGTCGGAGTCAACTAGATGGCAGTGAGTTTGTTCTTTAAATTTTTATTTGAAAATGAAAGACAAATTTTCATATGCTTATTTAGAGAGTTAAAAAGTAAGTTCTATGAATATAAAGTTGTAATAAGTTTAAACAATAAAGCCTTCTTTTAATTCCCAGAACTCTGAATTTTCAGTGTTTTTGATTCCCTAAACCATTGCGATATGTATTAAATATTTTATTACTCCAGCTGCAGTATTGATGTCGATATTTCTTACACCAAGGTTATTGAAATGTGCTTATCTTTATGTAGTAGTCAGGTAGTTTTGTTCTGCTTTGCAAGATACTTCTTGTCCATAAGTTTCTGGCTATTGTGGAAAATCTCATACCATGGGATATAGAAAAGCAGCTAACTAACTAAAGATTCTGATAGAAGATCAACTGTTCTAAAGACCCATTCTTTCCACTTCTGGGAAAGCTCTGGAGATTTACTGTTAAGACTCTAACTTTTAATGAGCAAGTTCTCCTCTGGGATCAAAAACTGATAATGAAGTGAGGCTTGAGTTGGAGACTGAAGTGTATTCTTGTGAGGTTCAGTGCATTTCCTGTTGGATACTGAGGGTAGCTTTCCATAAGAGTGACCCTGACTCCTTTGAATAGTTCCACAACAACACACATGAATATATGCATATATACTTTCATACACATGCACACATCCTTGCTTTAAGAGATTGTTTCTCAGTTCCATGACTGCTAGGAATTAATACCACCCATGCAGAACACTGATAAAACAAGGGAAGACAGAGATAAGTGAGTTCAATAAATTATTAACCTTAGTAAGTCATTTAAGGAGCTCAGGTGGCACAATGCCTAAGGCATTTGACTGCTAACAAGAAGATTGGCAGTTCAAAGACTGTAATTTATTGACTCATATACAGGGTAACCACATAGTTTATTTCCCGAAGTAGGAGACTGTAGATGATAAAAGGAAGCACTATTGACAATTTAGAGACGAGAGAGGACTTAAAATTTTTCAAGTTTGGCAACCAAGATTATAATATTATATACACATATATAAAGGAGCTTGGGTAGCACAAGTAGTTTGCAGTGCACAGCTAATGTAAAGGCTGGTAGTTAGAACACACCTAGCAGCACAATTGGATAAAATTCTTATCAATTGCTTCTGTAAAGATTACAACCAAGAAAATCCTATAACACTTGGGATTGCCATGAGTCAGGGGTTCAACTCAACAGGCAGCTAACAACATGCATATGTGTTATCAACTTTACAAGAAGATGTTTTTAGTTGCCATTAAGGTAACTCTGATTAATGGCAACCTCATGTGTGCAGAGTAGAGCTGCCCTGTAGGGTATACATGGCAATAAATTTTTGGAAAAAGGTTGATAGGCCTGTCTTCTGAGGAGCCTCTAGATAGGTTCAAACAGTGAAATTTTTATTAGTATTTGAGTGATTAACTCACATCAAAAAGGGTGTTGCTGTTGTTAGGTGCTGTTGAGTCAGTTCGAAGTCACAGCGACCTTATGTACAACAAAACGAAACACTGCCTGGTCCTGCACCATCATCACATTCCTTGCTATGATTGAGTCATCATTGCAGCCAAGGTGTCAATTTATCTCCTCCAGGGTCTTCCCTTTTTTCAACCACCCTTCACTTTACCAAGCATGATACCCTTCCCCAGGGAATGGTCCCTTCTGACCACGTGACCAAAGGACATGAGATGAAACCTGTCCATTTCACTTCTAAGGAGCTTTCCAATTGTACCTCTTCCAAGACAGATTTGTTGGTTCCTCTGGCAGTCCTTGGTATTTTCAGTATTCTTCACCAACACAAGTCAAAGGCATGCTTTCTTCTGTGGTCTTCCTTATTCATTGTCCAGCTTTCACATGCCTATGAGGCTATTGAAAATACTATGTCTTGAGTCAGCCATACCTTTGTCTTCAAGTGGTTTCTTTGTTCTTTAAAGAGGTATTTTGCCACAGACTTGCCAAGTACAATATGACCTCTGATTTCTTGAAAGTGGTAAACTAAAGATTTGAGTGCTAACCAGAAGGCTGGGGTTCAGACCCAGCAGCCACTTCTCCAAAGGAAGGATGGGCAAATCTCCTTCCGCAGTGATACTGCCTCGAAAACCCAGGGAGGGGTAACTGTGAGTCAGATCAGAGTCTACCACAGTGAGGTTTTTTTTTTCTATTTGTCTTTTCAATTCTGTTAAAGTCTGATTTATCTATTTTGGGTCTTTAGAGATTTATTTTTTATATCTTCTTGTTCTATTAATCTTTTAATCATTATATAATGTTTTTCCTTGTCTCTTAAGGTGTTTTTTGTCTTAAATTGAATTTATCAGAAATTAACATTCTACTCCTACTCTTTTTCAGTTGCCCTTTGTTTGATATATCTTCCAGTCTTTTGATTTTTAGTCTATTTTTGTTTTTGTCTCTAAGGTGTGTGTCTTGTAGAAAATATATTGATGGGTTATGTTTTCTTATCCAGTCTGCAACTCTGTGTCTTGAGTGGTGTATTTAATCCATTAGCATTCAATGTAATTATCAACAAGTATGAATTGGTTCCTGTCATTTTGTTATGTGTTTTTTCATGGTGTTCCTGGTTTCCTTGTTCCATATAATTTTCTGTGCTGAGGTCATTTTATTTATGAATCATGTAATCATTTTCTTCATTGCTGTTGTTTTAATATTTGCTAAATATTTGTGTTTGTCCTCTTTTTTTATTGTCATATGAAAGTTTATCATTATTCTTTGAATTTACCCTGTGATTTATAATTTTCTTTCCCAAGTTTAGGACAGTCCACTCTATCTTTCAACTCTGTTGACTTACTCACCATTTAGAAGTTCTGTAACTACACTATTTTTTCCCTCTTTTTGGTTTTTAGTTGTCCTCATTTGCCAATTGATGTCTCTTGTTCCCTGCTTACAAACTTGTAGGCTTATATTACTTTGTATACTTCCATAACTGGGTTGGTTTCTGGATTATGTTATCATGTGTATTAATGGTCAGTTGTTGTGTGATGTTATTGCTTCTTTGTTCAAAGGACTCCCTTTAGTATCTCTTGCAAAGTGGGCCTAGTTTTAACAAACTCCCTTAATTTCTGCTTATCTGGAAATCTCCCAATTTAACCATCATATTTAAGGAACAGTTTTGTTCAGTATATAATTCTGGTTGGAAATTTTTCTTTTTCAGGGTTTTATATATACCATCCCATTTCCTTCTCACCTGCATGGTTTCTCCTGAGAAATCAGGGCTTATTCTTATTGGTTTCCCTTTGTAGGTAAACTTTTCTCTTTCCTGTACTGTTTTCAAGGTTCTTTCTTTGTCTTTGGTTTTGGTGAGATTGATGATGATATGTCTTGGTGATTTTTTGGGTGGGGTCTATCATTTTGGGGTTCATTGGACTTCCTGAATGGATATATTCTTATCTTTCATCATGTCAGGGAAGTTCTTTTTCAACCTATCTTGGACAATATTCTCAGTGGTTTTCTTTTTCTCCTGTTCTGGAATTCTGATTACATGTAGGTTATTACTTTTGACAATATCCCACATGAATCTTAGGCTTTATTCATTTTGTTTGATTTTTTTTTTTCCTATTACTCCCTTTCCAAAGAAGTATTCAGGTATCTGTCTTCAATCTCATTAATTCTGTCTTCCATTGATTTCATTCTACTCCTTTACGCTTACAATGTGTTATCTATTTCTGAAAATTTAGTATTAATCTTCTAGGATTTCTATCTGTGGATGTTGTATCATTTTCAATTTTTCATTGATTTTGTAATTTTGTTCTTGTATTGTCTTCTGAAATTGTTCTAGGATTTTGTATGTGTTTTCCTTACTTTTTTCAGTGTTTTCCTTGATCTGTCTCTCAATCCATTGAAGGTACCTAAATATAATTCTTTTGAATTCCTTATCAGGGAGTTTCAATGCTGCTGCTTCTTCAGGGATGTGTTCTGGCTCTGTATCCTGGTCCCTTGTTTCTCCTGGTTTGCTTTCTTCTTTGTGTAGACCACAGTGGTCTATTTTCTCTGAGATATTGTGACTTTGTTGTAATTACATTTAATTGGTGATTGCATGTTGGAGTGATTCACCCAACATTTTCATTTTCTTTTTTGATATATCTGAGTAAACAGGGTACTGTGTTCCTCTATTCACTAGTTGGCAAC